CTCCAGGCTAAACATTCCCAGCTCCCTAAGTCGTTCCTCATAAGGCATAATTCCTCATTGTTCCTCATCAAAACACTCCCAACAGATGGCCATTTTGCTTCGGTTTAAAAACCTCCAAAGAAGGAGACGCCGCCACAGTCGGAGGGACATGTTTCACTGTCAAACAGTTCTTAGCTTTAGGATTTTCTTCCTAATGTTGAGGTGGAATCCTTTTCCTGTGGTTTGAATTCATTGCTCTGTGCCCTAGTCTCTGGAGCAGCATAAAACAAGCTTGCTCCATCCTCAATATGACACCCCTTCACATATTTAAACAGGGCTATCCTATCACCTCTTAACCTTCTCTTCTCCAGGCTAAATGTACCCAGTTCCCTAAGCATCTCCTCATAAGGCATGGTTTCCAGACCCTTGACAATTTTAGTGTCCCTTCTTTGGACACGCTACAACTTCTCAACATCCTTTTTGAACTGTTATGTCCAGAAATGCAGACAGTGATCCAGGTGAGGACTGACCAAAGCAAAATAAAAGTGGCACTATTAACCAAAGCAAAATAAAAGTGGCACTATTACTTCCCTCAATCTACACAGTATACTCCTATTGATGCAGTCTTGGATCATATTGGCTTTTGTTAGGTGGTGCATCACATTGCTGACTCATGTTCAGGTTGTGGTCTACTAAGTTTCCAAGATCCCTTTTGAAATAATTCAAACTTTCAAGAAGCCTTTATCTTTAGAGCCCTTGATACCTTGGGCACAAATATCTGAATAAGTGCCTTTCCCCCTACCAACCTTGTTGTTATTGTTGTTACATGGCTACTTATTGAAAGAAGGAAAGGTAAGCAACTACCTGCCACAACTATAAAAGCAACACTGCAGAAATAATCCAGTTTGATGCTACAGTCAGCCCTCCATTTTCACAGGGGATCCATTCCGGACACCACCACCCCCGCGAAAATTGAGATTTGCAAATATTTAAGCCCCATAGGCTTGAATGGGGCACACCCCATTCATTTAAACAGAGGTCACCTTCACTGAATATGTAAAACCGCAGACCACTAGAATGGAGGGGTGACTGTACTTTAACTGCCATGGCTCAATGCTAGGGAACTGTAGTTAGTTGTGGCACCATAGCATTCGGCCATGGCAGTGAAAGTGGTGCCAACCTGGATTATTTCTACAGTGCAGACACAGCTTTGGAATTACTGAAGGCCAATGTTCTCACCTGTTTCTCTTCCTGCTTCTTCTTTTCAGCCTGGCTCAAGAGGAAACCTTCAGCCAGGGCCACCGCCTGGGAACTGGTCTCTGCTCCACACTCTTGGACCCACCTTTCCATCTCTGGAGGAAGAACAGCCAAGAACTGCTCCAGGATCACCAGGTCCAGGATTTGAGCCTTGGTGTGGCTTTCTGGCTTTAGCCATTGGAGACAAAGAGTGAGTGTGAAGTTGACTGCAAACCGCCCGGGGGCCCTGAGGTTCCCAGTAACAGAGACCCCTGAAGTGCCGTCGCTGGACCTCTGAGCTGGCAGAGTCCTTGTTCAGATTCTTCTGGACAGTTCCAGTCTCAGGTCCATCAGGGCCTCCTCCTTCTGCTTCAAGATTCACTGAATTTGGCTCTTCCATCTCCAGCCTGTGTTCTGTGTCAGCCTCCAACAAGACCCAAAGGCTCTCCATCCTGTTGCTAATTTTCTTTTCTTAAGGCAAGCAGTGTTGATGGAAGATGGTGTCCATGGTCTAGCACAAACCACAAGCCCTTCTTGTCTGAATGTGTTACATTCTCCAGTCAAAATGATGCTTTACTAGAAGCACTGGGTAGTTTTGGGTACGGGCTTCTCCCTTTAAGGAAGCGAAGTGAAGGTTTCAGCATGTCACTAGAAACAAAGGGAAGGAGGACCAACTCTAGTCATTTTCCCATGACATTTCCGCCCTCTTCCCTTGATTCCCCACCCCTTCCCCACCCACTTCAAGACCCCTTATCTTTTTTCTCCTCTGCCCTGCAGATGGAAACTAGCTTCAAACACATTTCAATCCACTGCAAACTCTCAGGACATCCAGTTTGAGTGCCGCTATAGAGACCTTTGGAATTAGTGACAAGATGGAAGGAAGCCACCCAAGCTGTTGTGTGCCTTCAAGTTGTTTTTGACTTACAATGACCCTACTGCAGGGTTTACTTGGCAAGTTTCTTCAGACAGGGTTTGCCATCCTCTGAAGCTGAAAGAGTATGACTGGCCCAGGTTCACCCTATTCAAACCCAGTTCTCCAGAGTCATAGTCCCATGCTCAAACCACTACACCATGCTAGCTTTCAAGCCACCCAAAGGAGGCCTTTTATGAAGGAATCCTGCATATGGGTCATCTGTCACTGTGAGAAACTGGAGAGGCAGGGCAGAGAAGATGACTTTTGCTCCTCTGGCTCCCATCTCTGATCTTCTGAAAATATAAATGGGTTCAAGACAACTAGCAATGTTTTGGGAAGCTTCCCTCAGGAGAGAGAAATAAATAAAAGGACTTACCTGGTATGGCTTTTGTAGGGGAGTGGGAAACAGGGTTGAAATCTCTCTCCTTTTCTCAGGGCTAGTCTACATGTAAGTATATTATGTAAATTATTGTGGATTTTTGCAAATTTACATCAACAGTGAATTGTCTTCACTTTTCTGCACAAATTCACATTTGTTCACCCTCCCTCTGCTGAAAATGTGCAGCCATCCAAATCCATGCAAGCAGATGAACAGCCACATGTGTGATAATGTGTATTTCTACGGATTTCCGTGGATTGTTGTTATTGTTGTGTGCCTCCAAATTGTTTCCAATTTATAGCAACCCTAAGGATATCCTATTGTGGAGTTTTCTTAGCAAGATTTATTCAGAGGATGGGTTGCCATTGCCTTCTCCTGAGGCTGAGAGAGTATGACTTGTCAGAGTTCGCCCAGTGGGTTTCATGGCTGAGTGGAGATTCGAACCCCTGATCTCCAGAGTCCTAGTCCAACACTCAAACCATTGCACCACATTGGCTCATCTATTTACCCTTCACTGCTGAAAATGCACAGCCATCCAAATCCACGTAAAGCAATGGACAGCCACATTTGTAATAATGAAGATTTTTGTGAATACTCTGGAAAAGACCATAAAGTTTTTTTTGCAGAGTTTTTCAGAGGGCCACTGCAAAAAAACTCCAAACTCCTGCAAATTGTTTATGGCCAAATTGCATTCCATTAGACTGGAATGAGGAGTATTTAAATTGTGTCCCCTCTTGCTTTTCTCTCTGCTCCCTGTCTGGGCTGTCCACTCCTTGGCATTACATCTCACCATCAGCACCACCAGGGTTGCCAGAGTGAAAACTGGAGAACGCTACTGTACCTTAAATGACTGCATAGAAGAAGGTATTTCAGTAGGTGTTTCCTGTGACCTGGCTGCCTGATGAAATTATTTTGTCTGCACAACCGTTAAAAGTACAAGAGCCCTCTCTAGTTTTCAATTTGGCAACCCTAGGTGAGTGCCACTGACAGTGAGGTTCAGGGGAGCTACAGATGCAAGAGGGTATTGGTTGCCAGATTGCTGAGAGGGATCCTATATGTTTAATGATTAGGTAGAACAACCAGCATGGTGTAGTGGTTTGAGTGTTGGACGATGGCTGTAAAGGCCAGGGTTCAAATACCCACTCAGCCATGGAAACCCACTGGGTGACCTTGAGCAAGTCACACACTCTCAGCCTCAGAGGACAGCAAAGGCAAACTGCCTCACAGTAGGTCACCTTAGGGTTGAAGGCAGACAACAACAAAACAACAACAGGAGAGCATGCCTAAATATCCTAAGCACAAGAACCCATCTGATTTTGGAAGCTAAGCAGGGTCAGCCCTGGTTAGCACTTGCATGGGAAACCACCAATGAATACCAGGCTATAGTTCAGAGGACGAAAATGGCAAAACCACCTCTAAGTATTTATTCTTTGCATAAGAAAACCATAAGAAAACTCATGGGGGTCACCAAAAGTCGACAAGCAACTTGAATTCACACATACACACACATGGAATGGGATAGTGAATGGAAATTTCATGTTCAGAGGCAGTGTATGGCCAACATGGTTACCCCTGGATATGTTTAGTAGATTATCAGTTAGGATATTCTCAATGGTATTGAATTGGATGTTATTTTTAAGATTACTACAGTTAAATCATAGATTCTACCCACTAGATGTCACTGCAGGTTAAGAAACAAACAAACAAACAAATATCCAGTACTGATTTCCAGGAGGGAAAAAGGCAAGATTTCTGAGTCTGGCCTGGCAGATATTTCATCATAATTGCTCTTTTTAAAAAGCCTAAATACCTTAAGGGGACCACATTCCTTCTGATCTTGAAAGCTAAGCAGGGTCAGCCCTGCTTAGTACATGGATGAGAGACAGTCAAAGAATCCCAGGTGCTGTAGTTTATATTTCAGAGGAAGGAACTGGGAAAACCACCTCTGAGTATTCCTTCTTAAGAAAACTCTATGAAATTCATGGGGTTGCCATAAATTGACAGGCGATTTGAAGGCACACATATACGACTTAAGTCTGCTTCCTCAGATGCATGAAGTGCCTTCCTGGAAGATTCATTTGATGCCTTTTTCCTCCTTGAGAGCCTCTAGTGAAAGCTTCCTTATCTCCTATGTATTTCTGTGTTTTTGCTGGCATTGTTAATTTGGCCTGCCTCTTATTTCCTTATATTTTGTGGTGTGTGTTTTTAATCCCCATAAACCACTCCAATTTTTACCTGAACACTTTTAAAGCATCAGATCCCATCTGATCTTGGAAGCTAGGCAGGGTCAGCCTTGATTAGTCCTTAGATGGGAGGCCACCAAGGAATACTAGGTGCTGTAGGCTAGAGTTCAGAAGAAGGAATTGGCAAAATCACCTTTGGGTATTTTCTTGACTTACGGTAACAAAAACCCGATGAAAATCATGAGGTTGCTATAAAGCAGTGGTTCTCAAATAGTGGGGCGGGCCCCCCAGGGCTCCGTAAAGGGGGGCCCCATTACGGCTGGAGAGAGGGAGATTGTCCCAGCGCAGCCCGACGTGCTCTATCCTGATTGGTCAAACCCACCCATGTGACTATTTACGGTCACGCGGGGGGGCGTAAAATGTTTTCTTCTTTCCTAGGGGGGGCGTGACAGAAAATAATGGAGAAGCACTGCTATAAAGTAACTTAAAAGCACACAAACAAGGAGAGAGAATTTCTGCAGGCATCGCTTGTCATTCTGCCAAGTAACAAGAAATGCCTGCAGAAATTCCATGTTCTGCACAAACATTAAAGGCATGGTATATTCAATATACATCCCCATCCACTGAAAAGGAGACTCAAAAGAGTGCAGCATCTAGAGGATCATAGCATTAATTTCCCACAGAAACAAAATTATGCTTAAAATTCTGCAAGATAGACTCCAACCATATCTGGAGAGAGAAATCCCAGAGGTGCAAGCTGGGTTCAGGAAAGGAAGATGCACTAGGGAACACACTGCACACATACAATGGATAATGGATAGCACCAAGGAATTGCAGAAGAAAATCAGCATGTGCTTTATAGACTACAGCAAAGCCTTTGACTGCATAGATCAGGGGTCGGCAACGTTTACAGACCTAGGGCCGGTCGCTGGTCCCCAGGTCTTCCGCCGGGCCGGGGGGGGGGGGAATGGCTGTGTGTGTGCTCATGCGCGGTTGCACAGCCCCCGCCCCCGCCATCGCCAGTCGCCACCACCAAAATGTACTCCTGCGCATGCGCAAATGAGTCGTGGCCACCATTTCAGCAAACAAAATGGCAGCCGCGACATGCGCAGCGGCATGGTGGCGTGAGCGCGCAGCGGAGGTCGGCGGTGGGGGTCAGAGGGCTGGGTATGGCCCGCGGGCTGTAGGTTGCCAATCCCTGGCATAGATCATGAAAGGCTATGGAACACCCTTAAAGACATGGGAGTGCCAATACATCTGATCGTCCTGATGAGGAATCTGTACTATCAGAGAAACAGAATTGTTCCCAATGGGCAAAGGGGTCAGACAAGGTTGCATTGTTCAACTTGTATGGAGAAAACATCATATTAAGTGCAGGGTTGGACTCAGAAGACAAAGGAGTGAAGATTGGAGGAAGCAACATCAACAATCTGAGATATGCGGATGAAACTATACTACTAGTAGAAAACATCACAGACTTGGTACAATTACTTAGGAAGATCAAAGAACAAAGTGCAAAGGCAGGTTTGCTGCTCAACATAAAGAAAACATAAATAATGACCATGGAGCAGCTACATAAATTCAACCTAGATAATGTGGAAATTGAAATAATAAAAGAGTTCCCATACCTCAGATCAAACATTGATCGAAACAGACTCTGTGGTCAAGAAATCAGAAGGAGATTAGGAATGGGAAGAGCAGCTATGAAAGAACTAGACAAAATCCTAAAGAGTAATGATACACAGCTGAACATTAAAGTCAGAATTATCCAAGCCATTATATTCCCCATACTATGTATGGATGTGAGAGCTGGACAGTGAAGAAAGTGGATAAAAAGAAAATCAACTTGTTTGAGATATGGTGCTGGAGAAGAGTGCTGAGGATCCCATGGATGGCCAAGAAGACAAACAAACGGGTCCTTGAACAGATCAGGCCTGAATTCTCCCTGGAAGCCAAGATGATTAAACTGAAGCTGTCATATCTTGGCCACATCATGAGAAAGCATGACTCCTTAGAAAAGACAATAATGCTAGGAAAGTTTGAAGGTAGTAGAAAGAAAGGAAGAATGCATGCTAGATAGATCGATTCAACCTGGGACATCTCAGGCATGAATTTGCAAGATCTAAGCAGAGTATTGACACAGTGTGGCATAGTGGTTTAAGTGCTGGACTACAATTCTGGAAATCAGGGTTCGATTCCCAGCTTGGCTATGAAACCAACCAGGTGACCTTGGGCAAGTCACACTCTCTCAGCCCCAGGGGAAAGCAATGGCAATCCTCCTCTGAACAGATCCTACCAAGAAAACTCCATGATAGGGTTGCCATATGGGTTGAAGGCACAACAACAACAAGAAGCAGGGAAGTGGAGGACAGGGGGGTCTTAGAGATGTCTCATCCATAGGGTCACCATGAGTTGGGGTAAACTCAAGGGCAGTTAACAACAAAAACCCTCTGTCCAATTTTTCAATCTAGCCACGCACCATTTGGCAATGTAATTCTAGGTTGCATCAATAGAAGTATAGTATCTAGATCAAGGGAAGTAATAGTTCCACTCTATTCTGGTTTGGTCAGGCCTCACCTGGAATACTGTGTCCAGTTCACAATTTAAAAAGGATGTTGAGAGTGTGTCCAAAGGAGGGCAACTAAAAGGGTGAAGGGTCTAGAAACCATGCCATGAGGAGTGGCTTAGGGAGCCTGGTATGTTTAGCCTGGAGAAGGGAAGATTAAGAGGTGATATGAAAGCCCTGTTTAAGTATATGAAGGGGTGCCATATCGAGAATGGAGCAAGCTTGTTTTCTGCTGCTCCAGAGAATAGGACCCAGAGCAATGGATTCAAATGACAGGATAAGAGATTCCACTTAAACATTAGGAGGAAATTCCTGGCAGTAAAAGCAGTTTGACAGTGGAGTCTCCTTCTTTGGAGGTTTTTAAACAGAGGCTGGATGGCCATCAGTAGGGAGTGCTTTGATTCTGTGTTCCTACAGGGCAGGAGGTTGGAATGGATGGCCTTTGGGGGGGTTCTCTTCTAATTTTTTATTATTTATTAATTCCTATTATTCTACCAGACTGCTGAGGAACTGCTGCTGGCTCTAGGTTTTTGTGTGACAAACCTTCTAAGACACAAACCCTCCCTTCTTCCTTTCC